ATGTCCAATTGCTATAAACCAAACTGCACCCTGAAAAAAGTATCCACTGAATATTCATAAAAACTGAGAAAGAAAATCAATTCTAAAAAGTATAATTCATGATATTCGATGATCACAGAGCAATAAAACAGAAACTAATAACAAAACTAATTCTTTTATCAGGGGTGGGGTTGTGGAAAGGGGGAATCCCATTACACTATACTTCATTAGCTTTTTGAAATCTCCTTAAAAAATCAGTGGCTAAAAAGAGCAAACAAAATCAGTATTTTAGCCTGGCTGGGTGGGGCTCAGTGGTTAATTATCGACTTAGGATCCAGGAGATCGAAGTTCAATTCCCTGTCAGGGCACATCCCCAGGTTGTGGACTTGATCCCCAGCACAGGGCGTGCAGGAGGCAGCCAATCAATGACTCTCTCATCATTGATGTTTCTATCTCTCTCTTCCCCTGTCCCGTCCTCTCTCTGAAATCAATAAAGATATATTTTTTTAAAAATGAATGAGGCAGGTCTATTATATGTACTAATTTAGAAAAACCTTGGACAATTTTATTTACAGAAGAAAAATTTTACAATGTTATCTATCTGTGTTAACCTTTTGGGTAAAAAAAGGTTAAGGAGTAAGAGATATATATACGCCTTACTAGACATGGAATATTCCTGGATCTATTCAGTTATTTATCTACTCAACAGATATTTATTGAATGCCTGTTTTAAGTGTACAGAATGTATGGATAAATCACAATATCCCAGTTCTCTTGCAACTTGTTTTCTTGTGGAGAAGAGACAATAAACATAATTAATAAGTTAATTATATGCATGTTAAAAGGAAATAAAATCTATGGTAAGATAAAAATAGAGCATGGTAAGGGGCTCAAGAATGCGAGATACGTTGCAGTTGTTAATTGAGGGGTCAGGATGAGACCCATGGTTCAGAAAAAAGATGGCAGTAATGATGTTTTGGGGAAGGGAACCTGGGAGACTGGAACACAGATGAAATACTTTTTTCCTTAATATACCTTCATATAGTGTTTGAAAAGTTCATCAGGTAATAACATGAACTTTTGAAAAAGCAACAAGGTCATATAAACAGTTCTGTGTAAACATTGTTCTAACACTTAGACCTGTGGACAGAATCATTTCTAAGCCCTCCTCACTTTTCCAATTATGTTTTTGTCTTAAGCATTATCACCAAGTCCTGTATTTTCACAGATTCACCGGGTTCATCAATGTCTTTCAACATTCGGGTTGGAAGGTGAACAAGCCTCCTGGCTGATGAGGTGGTTTTAAATGGGTGAGAGGGAAACAGATGAAAGCTTATGTTAATAGTGTAGAACTTGGTGTCACTGATTCTACTTAATTTGCCTTAAAGGCAAAAACTAAAAAAGAATAATTGACAGCTAATTTAAAGTAACCTGTTACACATGTGACGATCATCTAACCATTTGTCGTACAACTAAAATTGTTATCTAAATAAACAAAATTAAAACCCTTCTTTTATTTGGTACTAAAATGAAGCACACCTGCTTCAGTCCAATAAAAGCAAGGGGAAAAGTGTCATACAGATCAAATTCGAGTACATGCTCTGTTACGTATTAACTAAATGCTTTTAGGCAAGTAAAAAACCCCCAAACTCTCTAATGTCTCTCCTGCTAACTGGAATAGAACGAATGGTTAACGAGAAGTCAGAAGTTCCAGACTTGAAGCTTGGTTTTTATCTCTTCTGGCTGCTTAAACCTGAGCAAGACCTAAGTCTCTGAGCATCAGTTTTCTCAAGTATAAAATAAGAATACTGTACCCACATCAGAGGGATATTATATTTGTGAGTATTAAATGAGATAATTCATGTGGAAAATGTCATTATGTAAAAATACTATAAACTGGAGGGTCTAAATGGCAGGCCCTTGGCCAAATCTAGCCACAAATGTATTTGAATTGGCTGACAGTTTTGGCTCCTACAGTCCTGTAAAGCAATTTTAATTAGTTGCCAATGTTCAAAGATTGGATGAACTTACGTAAAATATGGAATTTAAGTTTTCCTAAAAAATTATATAAACTGGCTGTGTCGGGCCCATATTCTTTTGGCAAAAAACAACTAGGTGAGAGTAGCAGTTAGCCTTGCCTCAGGGAGCCTTTGCTCTCCCATTGGTGTCACTTTCAGTCATTCATCATTCAGTTATTTGTCCCCTGACAGTGAAGTCTCAGTTTTCCGTATGCCTGGCCAGCTTCACTCCCTGCTATCTTAACTCCTCCTGGCTGTGCATTTGTGTTTGTGTCACCAGCATTGTGTGCTGCAGTGCTTTTCGTATTTCAGCACAAGGACATTAGACAAACTGCTCATCTGTCTTCTTTATCTTTATGAGACGAAATACATAAAAGGCTTCCATCACTAATCTGGGATTGACCTCTGCTTGTTCACTGGGACATCTCCAGTTCCCAGGCACATAATTATGAGCTCAGTAAATATTTATGGAGTGAATGAAAACGTGAATGAATGACAGTTACCTTACTACCTTAGGGATACATCTGAGTGTTTTGATTTGAGCATCTTATGCTTTTGCAACTTAGATATGATTACTCTGTCTGAAGCAGAGAAAAATATTTGTGCATGTGACATTTTTATTCAGTTTGATATTTTTAATTTTTACTACAGGATGTCCCCAGACAAGGTATGGCCCAAATTGTGAACGAAAATGTACCTGTAAAAATGGTGGCCTTTGCAATCCTGTGGATGGAAGCTGTACCTGTGGACTTGGATGGATGGGAAATTATTGTGAGAAAGGTAAGTTGATTGCTACCTTCTTTCATTCAATGAAAATCTAGAGCATACTGCCACTGGTTGATAAAATATTGGAGATGCCCCCCAAGAGACGATTTCCCAATAAGTTCACGCAAGCCATTTGTAATTATGATTACATTTCCAATAAAAATAGGATTCTGTTAATATTGATGGATTTTTGTTACCTTGCTACCAGAATACCACATGAAAGCATTTAAAACACTTAAGTAACTGGAATAGTATTAACATAAAAGAACTTCTCTAAGTCCTAAATTAACTCTCCCTCTAGTCAGTTTTTTAAGCACGGAACCTTTGTGGACAGCAAATCTGTTGAGCCCTGAGTTTCTGAGCATGAGGCTGAAGGGCTTCAACCACCACTGAGTCCTTGAGGCAGGCAGGGGCCCTGGGCAGAGCCAAGGGTAAAGGGAAGACTGTGGGAACGGAGGGCTCCAAACTTTATTTCAGCAGGAAAAATGTAATCATCTACCACTATAAATGTATTTTTACTCATAAAATGACATTCATGTGCTTCTCAACTAAGATATTATGTGTATCATAAAACATATATAAAGGTTTACATTGATAAAGAATGGGTATCAATAAAGACTGATAGTTCCAGTTTTTCTTCCAAACCACAGTTGATTATTTTGTGCAACACTGGAGAGTATGCGCCCTACTTAGAGCTCACCTTTATAGGAGATGATTTTGTGTTTTGGCAGCATAGAGAGAAAGGTCTCTGGCCAGAAGGCAGAGTGTGGGTGAGAACACTGCTGGGGGCCTACACTTGGGGTACCTCGAGTAAAAAAAGAAAAGAAAAAAAATTGGCAGTAAACTTTTACCTACTTGTTCTCAGCTATGGGGCTGTGGCCCTGCCGTACTGTTACTGTGGGTGTGATACCCACTCTTCACTGTGAATTTGACTATTATGAAATTTGCTAGAGTGGCGTACAAGAAAGCACCTTGCAGTGGGAGTGGACACACTCATCTGCCAACTCTGCTTGGCTCATACCATGCTCTGTGCCTTCAGAAGGTTCACAGCCTCTCTGCGATTTGGTTTTCCCACATGAATATGAAGACAATGACACTTGGAGATGACAGCTCTTCTAGATCTAGCATTCAAGGTCATTTTCTTAGAATTTTTTTAATATGAATATCCTCCCTAATTTATGGAGACAGCTCATCAATTTTTTGATATTAGAAATTACTAAATCAAATTAATAGCAGTTCTTTAGTAATAGACAATAGCTTTATATTCATATCAGATATTTTAAAATTCTAAGTTGGATAACTTTCAGCATTTTGGGATGTGGGCTGTTTTAACTTTGGACTCTATCATTAAAACTCTTTATTATTTATTAAATTATTTTAATTAAATTCAACTATTATTAAAATTTATTCTATTAAACTTATTTTTATTCTATCATTAAAACTTTTAACTTTTTATTTTATTTCTCATTTAAACTTATTTATTATTTATTTTTGTTTATCTTATCTCAGATATGTACAAAAGCTGCTGAGTCACTGGGTAAATACAAATGTAATTTTACAATATATTGACAAATTCTCATCTGTGAGGGCTTGTTCCATTTTGCACACTCATAACCAGTATAGACTACCTATTTCCTCAGGGATTTATCAAAAGAGTATGTTATCAAAACTTTTGTAAAAAATGTTATATCAGTGGAGTTTTCATTTTCATTTTTAGTGTTATGAATAATGTTTAGCATCTTCTGTAGTGGGTAAGGGCCTTTTGCATTTCTTTTCTCTATAAATTATAACTCAAGCTCATTTTTCTATGAGGTTCTTGTTTTTTTCTTCTCTAATATTAGAAGTTCTATATGTATTTGAAATACTAACTTTGTTGTGAATTATTCACCCATATTTGGGTAAATTTATCTTTGGTCTTTCTATTTTTCCTATAATATGTTTGCCACCTGATTTGTCATCTATTGGTATACAACAAACCAACCCAAAACTTAGAGACTGAAAACAACCATTTATTATTATCTCTCAGATTTGGGGGGTTAACTGGGTTCAGCTGAAGGATCCTTCTCTCAGATGGCAGCTTGGGCTGGAATTCTCTGAAGACTCAACCCAGCTGGAATATAGAAAATAACCTCTTCATTTACACATCTGCCAACCAGGTTTTCCTCCACATGGCTTCTTTCTCCTTGTCTTAGTCAGCTCAGGCTGATATAACAAAATGTCATAAACTAGGAGACTTCAACAGCAGACATTTATTTTCACAGTTCTGGAGTCTGGGTAGTCCAGGATTAAGGTACATGCAGATTTAGGGCCTGGCTAAGACTCTTTTCTGGTTTGCAGACGGCCTTCTTTTTGTTTTAACCTTACATGGGAGGGAAGGAGAGAGGGGGAGAGAGAGAGAGACTGGGGGGGGGAGAGAGAAAGAGCACTCTTGTATCTCTTTTTATAAGGGCAATTGTCCCATCCTGACGGTTCCACCATACTAATTCTTCAGCAGAATAATTCTTACATGACAGCTGACTTCCCAAAGCAGAAGTTGTCAGGGCTTCCTAAGGCTTGGAAATGGCATTATGTCACTTCCACCATATCCTGCTGGATAAAGTAAGTCACAGGATCAGCGCAGGTTCCACATAGGAGGGGTCAGCACAAGGGTATGAATCTCAGGGGATGTGCTTCAGGGGCACATCTTTAGATTATAGATTCTTCATGATTCAGTGGGATTTCTTGTTTGGTTGGTTTTTGTAATAAAATATGTCTTTCTTTCCTCTATTATTTTCTACATTTTGAGTAATAATTAGGAATGTGTTCCCCATTCTCAGGTATTAGAGAAATTCACTCAGACTTTCTTTTAATTACCTGTATGATGTCATTTTTTGACATTTGATTCTCTGATAAACTTTAAGTATTTTTCTTGATGTATTGTGTGAGGAATAAATCTATTTTCCCCTTACATGGCTTCTCAGTTATTGTAATGCAGCTTTGACAAGTCTAACTTCCTCATTGACTCCAGATTCAGCCTTCATCAAATACTAAACGTTTATATGCAGTTTTGTATTGTTCTGGATGCTCTGTTCTATGGGTCTGTCTATGTGTAAATGCAGTACCATTTTTAATATGGAGTCTTTATTTTATATATTTGATACTGATAGGGCTAGCCAGCCTTCATTGCTCTTTTTTTTTTTCCTCCAGGGTTTTAAGGCACTATTCTTTATTTGTCTTTCCAATGAACTTTATAATAAAATTGTCTAGATATAAAAAATTAAAAATCAGGTATTTTTTATTGTTTTTTGGTCCTCTGTGTTTACTCTTTTAGAGAGAATTAACATAATTATGATATTAACTCATCCTATCTGAGAACAGACATGGCCTATCATTCCATTTCTTCCCCATTAAGTAAAATACTGGATTTTAACATTCATATTAAGATATAGCTATTAATTTTCTAATTTATTAAATGTTTTCACTGAATTTTAGTGAATTTATTTTTTAAATATATTTTCTGCATCTATGGAATTAATAATATAACTTTTCTCTTTAGGCTGATAATTATGGTGGATTTATTAATGAATTTTCTAATATTAAATGACCTTACATTCTTGGAATAAATATGACTTGGACATGATATATTACTTTATAATATGCTGTTGGTTTCTATGTACTTATATTTTTTATGAATTTGGCATCAATATTCATAAGTGAAATTGAGCTTTTAATGTATTTTTGTCAGGTTTGGGAATTGATGCTATACTCAATAAAATGTATTTGAAAGCTTCCTTCCTTTTCAGTGTTCTGGACATGAGTAAATAGTAAGGTGAGGATCTGATTTGTGAAGGTCTATAGAATTTTCCTGTGAAACATAGGTCTTATGGGATTTTTTTTAATTCAGGAGCTATTTTGCTATTTTCTTTATTGTTTTTCTATTATAATTAGCCTGTCTAGGTTTTCTGCCTCAAATTAGGATAATTTTGGTAAGTTGTCTTCTATAACTTTTCCATTTCATTTAGGTTTTTATATTTATTTGTATTGTACCTTTTATATTTATTCCTTTTGATGATCATTCCACAGTTTATTTAAAATGTATATATTTGTGCTTTCTCTCTTTTATCTCAATTGTGTTAGCTAATAATTCATCTGATTTTTATTTTTTCATTAATTCTTCTGGTGTTTTGTTTTTTTCTGTCATCAAACTCATTACAATTCAATTGTCTTAAGTAGAACTAATGCTGGGTTTTCTTTTTCAGAATGTTCCCCTGGGTATTATGGCCCAGGCTGCCATTTTAATTGCACCTGTCAGAACAATGGAGTTTGCAACAGGTTTTCTGGAAGCTGCGAGTGCCTCCAAGGTTACTATGGAAGAGACTGTGAACATGGTAAACAGAGAAAATGAATGGGCATATTATGGTGTTGATAAGTTTTAAGCTTTAAAAACTTTTTTTTAAATAGTAAAAGTAATACATTCACATTCTATCAAATTAGATAAACTGTTAATGCATTAATGTATATTCCTGCCACGTATTTTATAGCTCTAATCTAAGGTCTAGGTGTCAACAACTGCTATAATTAAGTAATTGTATTTTTGTATCCTTTTTTGGAACTACTGTTAAAAACACACATGATTCTAATGTTCTGTGATTATCTGGAGTAGACACAGGTAGACACACCCAAAGGAGTCAGCTGCTGGTCCTTTTGAACAAAATCATTCTACTTTCTTACACAAAATATAAGCAAGGAAGCTGCTTCTTTCATATCATTCTAGACCTTATTTTGAAACATCTTCTTCAAGTTCTCTTTAAACACATTTATTTATATCACTTCTCAATATTTTCATCTAAAATTAGGAAAAGGGAAAATTATACAATAATTGTCTTAGATGTCAGGGAGCCTTGATGTGTGAAACACAGTTAAGAGATTAAGATGTGAGATCCTAGCCCCTAGAGTTAGTTACATATGGTCTAGCTCTGCCTTATAAAAGAAGTCTAAACTATTAACTTCAAAGTTTTGGTTTCATCATCTGTAGAATGGGGATAATAATAACACCTACCCTAAAATGTTATCATGAGAATTAAATTAGATACATGCAAGCATTTGCACTTAAGGTGCATGGCAAAAGCTTGACTAATATTAATCATTTAGAAGTAAGGAATTTTATAAAGCCTCTGAAGTTATAATAGCAATGTTAGAAATTGTTTCCATGTTTTTCAACTTGTTTTTAAGATTTGGCAAACATTTCACAAGAACAAATTTTATTAAGTCTTCTGAGGTTTAGAACTCTTGCCAACCATTCTGAGGTTTCTTGGGTTAGGGAGTGTGGAAGCAAACACCTTGTGGGTTTTGTTTGTTTGCTTTGTTTTCAAAATTGGAATAAAAGATACAAAAGAAGAAAAAATATCTATTCAGGGCCATAAATTTCCTAATACATACATCCTATATTCTAATACCCTACATGTGGTGAGTATCAAGGAAGATTTGGAGCAGGCAAGAGATATTACTAGATATTACTCTAATGAAATAAATCTGTAAAGTGGGAACATGATTGATTGTTAGGAAAAGGAGCCATCAGTAGTGTCCACATGGAAAGCTATAGTGATGGGGTAAGATTTTAAAATCTGGACTAAGATAAGAATGGAAATAAATGAACAGGATATTTTGTAAGAATAATTGACTGTATTAGGCAATTAATTTGGACATGAAGATGAGGAAAACGAAGGAACCAAAGATGGCTCTAAAGTTCCGAGCCAGGGAACCTTAGGGCAAACATAAACCCAAATCAAAAACATGGAATAATCACCTAAACTTCTGACTTGGACATTAAAGTGATAGGAATTCAATCTGTGGCCAATATAATGTATCCTTCTGATTTTGTTGCTGATTGTTCAGAAATTGTACCCTCCCCTAAATGAAATTGTTTAATATGTCAAAACACCACTAAAGCTGTTAATCTTCAACAGACAAAGATTCTTCTGTTTAGAGAAATAGAAAGGCCGAGCAAGGCAACCTTTATGAGCTTAGCTTTACATATAATTAAAATAAAGGAAACAAAGATTTGATTTTTCTATGCACTCTCAGTAACAATTATACAAGAACAAATAGAAGAAACCCTGCATTGAATTCTTCTTTGTTACTCATTTTTTTAAATTATAAGATTAAAAAAAATGGAAAAGTATGTATTATATAAACTAATCCATTTCTTACCTCCGTTTGGTTTTACCTCCTTTTTCTGCTCCCTGAATATGAATTTTTCCTAATGTTGAATCTGTCCTGAGTAACTCCATACATGATGGAGAAGTGTCACACACAGGAAGACAGGCAAACCTAACTCTAGGTGCCTGGAA